AATTTTGATTGATGGCTGTTATAACAATGAAACATTTTAAAAACAATAACTAGATTATATATCATTCTTTGACGACACAGTTAGCATCAATTTCAATTTTCCAACAAACACAAAGAAAGCAGGACGCGAATTTCCATTCTTTTCAGAACTGGAAACAGCGCTAGCGCACACGTCGACAAAAAATATAACAACATTATGCTTGTAATACAAGTTACAATAAATAAAATATCTGACTAAAATAGTTAGTTTGTCGAATACAGCGCGTCATACCATCCAAGCCTAAATTTCGTTGAAATCCATAAGATTTGGAAAATTTCATCAAAGTCTGTTTTTGATGCTTTTTTCGGGCATACATTCCAATGTAACTTTTGAAGCGTAGACAAAATTCGTTCTATTTCATTTTGACGCATAATGGACTTGATATTGAGAGAAAACTAAGGACTTCATTCGTACTTACCCGTCAAAGCTAAACATGCTGAATTAACATATTCTTTTGAGGGAGAGCGTTTATATGTTGGCATGTATATGTCTTTCTGTTTTATTATCACAGTGTTTGTATGTGTATACATGATTTTAAATTCCCCTAGAAAACATCCATTATCAAATAATCCAATGCTAACAATATTTTCGTCAATAAACAAAATAACTCCAATAAGATGTCAATTGCCAATTAACTTATTTGTAGATCTTTCTTTGCTTGATATTTTTGCTGTTTACAGTATATCTCAATCTATAATGATATTCAAGATCATTAACAAAAAATAAAAAAATTCCTTTTCTCCGCTCCAAAATTTATTTCACCCAGGGTTTGTATAATGCTAAAAATGCCTTTAGATGTTTTAATGGAACACCCTTCAAAAAAAATTTGGGCAGGAGTTCCCCTAACCCCGACTAACCCGCCGGGTCTGGGGCATTGACCCAATATAAGTATGCTGAAAGAAAAGATATAATAATGATTTATAGAAAAAGTAACACTGAATAATTCTGAAAATGGAACGTATCAAGGAGAAATTATTAGGACCCCCCCCCCTGAAAAAATTGCACCCCCTGGAAAAAAAATCAAGTCATCCCATTGTAGTCTTACAATAGTTACTGAAGACCCCTTATCATTATTTAAATCAGTTTTCAAGTTGTGACCATTTGAAATTGTTTTTTCACGTTTTTTCCATAGACTCCTATAGTAAACCCCTATGTTCTATTTTTACCAATGGGGGCCATGTTGGTTGTAGGGCAGGGTCATCGGATACATTTTTCAATCAAGATACTGTAATAATAATTTTGGCTAAGTTTAATTCCATTTGGCCAAGTAGATTAAGAGAAAATTTTTGTAAAAGATTAAAAAAATTGCGAAAAATAGTGAAAAATTTATGTTGAAAGTCTGTGATATGAAGGTTTTACTACAAGCATCACATAAACTTAACATTATCAACGATCCATAAAAATGAGGTCAATACAGATGAACCATACCAGACATGCATAAAATTCAAAATTGAGAATGGAAATGGGGAATGTGTCAAAGAGACAACCCGACCAAGAGCAGAAAACAGCCGAAGGCCACCAATGGGTGTATAGCTTAGTAATTTCATACACCAAATATAGTGATCCTACTGCGTATAGTACCTGGAAAACATACCAAACCACAAACACTTATCATTGACCAATGAAACATTACAATAAGGTCAAGGTCATATGAACCCTGCCAGACAGACATGAACACCTCACATTCATTCCATACACCAAACATAATTGACCTATTGCTTATAATATCTTAAATACAGACTTGACCTTGGTAAATGATCCATAATTAAAGTGAGGTCGAGGTCAGGTAAACCATGTCTGACAGACACGCAGACCTTGCAAGGAAGCCATATACTAAATATAGTTATCCAATTACTCATAATAAGGGAGTATTTTACATGACCTGGGACTAGTATAATAGTCCGAAACATGACAAAAACTACGGGCTGAACCACGAAAATGAGGTCAATGACAATGGACATATGACAGACCAGCTCGTAACATAAGGTATCTGCATGTCCATGTCTTCTACCCTCTGAAATATAAAAGCTTTATACAAATGGATTGTAATTCCTATGTCTCAAATTCTGAGACTTTCTCACTGGCGAAACAAGAATAATGAGATGTGGCATGATTGCCTATAAGATATCTATCCACCAGAGCCCAAAATGACTATTCCACATTTGAGTAATGGACAACAATTATGTGAAATAAGAACCAGATTTAGGCAAGATTAATTAATGGATTATACAGTACAGCTAAATTAGTGAAGCTTGGTTCCAAATTCAAAGAAATTGGAAATTGTTCTTTGGAGAAAAAAGGCTATGACAATTTCTATCTATGCATTAAATTTAAAGAAAAATTGTGTTTTTATCAAACTGAAAGTGGATGTCAGGCAGAATTTTAAGTTTGAAACCAAATATACAGAAGTGATTTTTGTAGCTGGATAAAACATGATAGAAAAGTGTAATGATTTGAAGCAACCATGCATGTGATAATGAACACAAGTATACTCCTCCTTTTTTAAGTTAGTTTGTGAAATGCAGATAACACCATAACAATGATGTATCATGTCAAATCAGTGACTGATATTTCTTTATACCACATTTGGCATACAGTGATATATGTACTGTAAATCTATTCAAAAATTATACGTCTTTTTGTATCTCATGTTTTCTTTTTATGCAGTTTTGTTCCTTATGAGAACACCTGCAAAAAGTTTCAAATTTTGAATTTCACTTCAGAAGTCTAATATATAGAATCATATTGTGGATTTGTTTTCACAACTTCTATTTTATTTTTGTTGCATATCTTTTATTATATAGTATAATATTTATTTACATGTGTGATACACATCTCAAAATTTGTACTTTACCTTGTGCTAAAATTCAATAAGGTGTTAAATTCTAAGTTTCATTCACAGGTTTTAATTCTGGATTTAACATGTTGGTGATCTGATTATAGTGTCTCGTAAAATCTAACGTATTAAATGCATTGCATTTGCAGCAAACACACAAAACTTTGTGAAAAAAAATCATCCTTTAAGGTCGAAAACTCCTTTAAGGAGTTGTCAATGGTTTCCCCCTATTATAATTTTCAAGTAGTAGTGATACCAAGTTAAAGTCCAAATTTAGAATATGACATCGACCTTCAACATCTTGAAAGTTAGTTAAAAATTGTCAATTATGGGCAATAACTCCTATAGGGAGTCATCCAATGGTTTTGGTCACATAAGCATTTTTGAAGTGTATTGCTGATATATTTTTGCTGCTCAGTTTCTACCAATCTATTTTAGTTTTCAAGACAATAGGCCAAAACACAAAAATTAGTCAAAAATCCTCATTTAGGGGCAATAAATCCTACAAGGATATTCCAATGGTTTCTGATATGTTGGCATTTTTGTAGGTTTTGTATTGCTGATATATTTTTGGCTGTTACAGTTTCTACCTATCTATTCTTAATTTCAAGCTAGCAGTGATAACAAGTAAAAGTGGAATTTGAGTTTGACCACCTTGAACATTGAGTTTGACCTCAAAATCTTGAAAATACACATGTAGTCAAAACTCATCATTTAAGGGCAATAACTCCTATAAGGATTCATCCAATGGTTTCAGTCACATAAGCATTTTTGAAGGTTTTGTATTGATGATATATTTGCTGTTCAGTTTCTACCAATCTATTTTAGTTTTCGAGATAATAAGCAAACACTCAAAAATAGTCATTTTTAGGCAATAACTCCTATTAACAGTCATCTGATAATTTCTGTGGTAATTGAAAGTAGGTAATGGTATATCTGGATTTTCTACACATACCCTCTATCCTACTGGATTTAGGCATGAACTACATGAATTAAGAAATTGTCCCTTTTTAACGCTCAGGAAATAGACCCATAACCAGATTTTGTGAAAATTTACACAAAAATTTGTTTCATACTGATTTTGAAGCTTTCTAAAGGAAGGCAATTGTAAACATTGGTAATTAGCCAATCAGAATAAGTTTTTATGTCATCCCAAGCACGTTTGAAATTTTGAGTTGAAATAACTTGGCTGGAGTGTTAAAATTATAATAAACTGTTACCACAGATATATGTCTGGCCTTTTTGTAATTTTGATAATGTAAATGTTGAAATTAAAATAGCAATACTTTAACATGTAAGTTATGCAAATATTCAAAGTCAATGAACCATGACTGAAGGTACATGGCTACAAAATCTCCATGGAAAGGAGATGTGTCAATGCTAATACAACTGCATACCAAATACCATTGACTTATCATAAGTCATTCACTTTAAACAAACCTAAACACAAACATTAACTTGCAAACTTTGTAAAAGTTTCAAAGTCAATGAACCATGATAAGGGGGTGGGGCTATATAATCTCAATGGAAACGAGACTTGCACATGCCAATAAATTTGCATACCAAATATCATTGACTTAACATTAGCAGTTCATCTTAAACTGATCTAATCACAAACTAATACATGTAAACTAAGCAAAAGTTTCAAAGCCAATAGACCGTCACTGAGGGGGCGGGGCCAAATATTCTCCATGGAAATGAAATATGCTATGCTTATACAACTGCAAACAAATTAACATTGGCCTACCACTAATGGTTCCCCTTGAACTGACTTAATCACAAATAAAACTAAGCAAAAGTTTCAAAGTCAATAGACCATGACTGAGGGGGCGGGGCCAAATAATCTCCATGGAAATGAAATATGCCAATGCTTATACAAATACATACCAAATATCATTGACCTACCACTAGTGGTTCACCATAAACGAGACCTAATCACAAACTAATACATTGTTGACGCCACCGGAAACAGCATACCTATGTCTCGCTTTTTGACTCTGTCAAGGCGAGACTAAAATCTTGATCATCGAGGATAAATTATTGCATGCAAAATGTTTTTTTTTTTTGTGTCTTAGAAGAGAAGATGTGTTGCTTTGTACTGGTACCTAGAAACATGGGAGACAAATGTTGACAAAAATCAATGCTTGGGATATCCCTGCCCTATTCAATGGTGGCCTTAATGACGTTTCAAAGTAGTACTGTTCTTTATCAGATCAGAAGTCCTTCTAGACTCAAAACACTTCTGAGTTTGTCCGTCCGTTATGACCAGGATGTTTAATGAAGGTAGTAAAGAAAATAATACAGACACCTGGTTTGTTTTAGACAACTGTATGTTCTCTCCTTACTGTAAACTACTACAACACCAACAATTGTTACATACACAAAAGAGCCTCCAAGACAACCAAGCAATTATTTAACAGTTACAAAAAGAACTGATCAATATATATTGCTGTCATTTTTGTTATGAAATTATTCAATAATTAAAATTAAAAGCCCTTCTTTCTTTTTTTGTAACTACACAATTCTTTTATTATTTTTTCTCATGTAGAAAAACTAGAGGCTCTCAAGAGCCTGTGTCGCTCACCTGTATTTACTGATGCTTTGGAAATCATGTAAAATAAGGTTAAAATCATAATTAATAGTATTAGATATTAGATATTATAATGATATCTAAGATAATAACAAAAAACTGCAAAAACTCAGGGGCAGCAACCCAACAACAGGTTGTCGGATTTGTCTGAAAATTTCAGGGCAGATAAATCTAAATCTGATGAACATTTTTGCCACCTGTCAGATATGCTCTAAATGCTTTAGTTTCAGAGATATAAACCAAAAACTGCATTTTACCCCTATGTTCTATTTTTAACCAAGTCGGCCATGATGGTTGGAAGGCGGGGTCATCGGACAAATTTTTTAAACTAGATACCCTAATAATGATTATGGCCAAGTATGGTTAAATTTGTCTCAGTAGTTTCAGAGAAGGAAGATTTTGGTAAAAGATTACAAAAATTTACAAAAAATTGTTAAAAATTGACTATTAAGGGCAATAACTCCTAAAGGGGTCGACTGACAATTTTGGTCATGACAACTTATTTGTAGATCTTACTTTGCTGAACATTATTGCTGTTTACAGTTTATCTCTATCTATAATAATATTCAAGATAATAACCAAAAACTGCAAAATTTCCTTAAAATTACCAATTCAGGGGCAGCAACCCAAACAGGTTGTCAGATTTGTCTGAAAATTTCAGGGCAGATAGATCTTGACCTGTTTATCAGTTTTACCCAAGTCAGATTTACTCTAAATGCTTTGGTTTCAGAGATATAAGCCAAAATCTACATTTTACCCCTATGTTCTATTTTTAGCCATGGCGGCCATCTTGGTTGGTTGGCGGGGTCATCGGACACATTTTTTAAACTAGACACCTTAATGATGATTGTGACCAAGTTTGGTTAAATTTGGCCCAGTGGTTTCAGAGGAGAAGATTTTTAAAAAGGTACATAGCTACAAAAAAGCTAACGACGACGGACACCAAGTGATGAGAAAAGCTCACTTGGCCCTTCGGGCCAGGTGAGCTAAAAAAGTAAAACAAGCATTCTGAGAGTATTGCATGGCAATACATGGTCCCCTACCGGTTGAAAATTCATTGTACAGAAACAAAATGCTAAATTAATCTATAACTTGTCATGGTGTAAACTATATAACAAATATCAAGTCAATATCTTCAAGCATGACGAAAATAGTGTGGAAAACTGATTATTTAAGTGAATTTTCTAAGTCCAAGGACCATATCTCTAAACAAAATCATCAGATCGGAACAAAATTCGAACTTGATCTGTAACTTGTCATGATAAAACTATATACCAATTATCAAATCAATATCTTTTAGCATTATTTGAGGGAATTTTCTAAGTCCAAGGACCATAACTCTGCACAAAATCATCAGACCGGATACAAATTCAAACTTGATCTGTAACTTGTCATGATAAAACTATATACCAATTATCAAATCAATATCTTCAAGCATGACTAAAATAAAATGCTCCGCTGGGTGCAGCTTGATACGACCGCAGAGGTCGAACCCTGAACAGTTGGGGCAAGTATGGACACAACATTCAAGCTTGATACAGCTCTGAATTTGGATTGTGATTAAATATTTGACACAGCATAGGTTTCTGACACAGAATGAATGTGGTCTAAGAACTTTAATTTTTTTAATTTACCTATTATGGTCCAATATCCAAAATCTAAATACATGGTAAGATTCAGCATATCAAAGAATCCAAAGAATTCAATTTTTGATGAAATCAAACAAAGTTTAATTTTGGACCCTTTTGACCTCAATGTTGACCAATTTGATAACGGGGCCCAAAAATCAAAATACATGGTTAGATTCAGCATATCAAAGAACCCCATATATTCAATTTTTGTTGAAATCAAACAAAGTTTAATTTTGGACCCCAATTTGGACCAACTTGAAAACTGGGCCCATAATCAAAAATCTAAACACATGTTTAGATTCAGCATATCAAAGAACCCAAAGAATTCAATTTTTGTTAAAATCAAACTAAGTTTAATTTTGGACCCTTTGGACCTTAATGTAGACCAATTTAAAAAACTGGACCCAAAATTAAAAATCTATATACACGGTTAGATTTGGCATATCAAAGAACCCCAATAATTCAATTTTTGATGAAATAAAACAAAGTTTAATTTTGGACCCTTTTGACCTCAATGTGGACCAATTTGATAACGGGGCCCAAAAATCTAAATACATGGTTAGATTCAGCATATCAAAGAACCCCATATATTCAATTTTTGTTGAAATCAAACAAAGTTTAATTTTGGACCCCAATTTGGACCAACTTGAAAACTGGGCCCGAAATAAAAAACCTAAACACATGTTTAGATTCAGCATATCAAAGAACCCCATATATTCAATTTTTGTTAAAATCAAACTAAGTTTAATTTTGGACCCTTTGGACCTTAATGTAGACCAATTTAAAAAACTGGACCCAAAATTAAAAATCTAAATACACGGTTAGATTTGGCATATCAAAGAACCCCAATAATTCAATTTTTGATGAAATAAAACAAAGTTTAATTTTGGACCCTTTTGACCTCAATATGAACCAATTTGATAGCGGGGCCCACAAATAAAAAATCTAAATACATGGTTAGATTCAGCATATCAAAGAACCCCATATATTCATTTTTTGTCGAAATCAAACAAAGTTTAATTTTGGACCCCAATTTGGACCAACTTGAAAACTGGGCCCGAAATCAAAAATCTAAATACATGTTTAGATTCAGCATATCAAAGAACCCCATATATTCAATTTTTGTTAAAATCAAACTAAGTTTAATTTTGGACCCTTTGGACCTTAATGTAGACCAATTTGAAAACTGGACCCAAAATGAAAAATCTAAATACATGGTTAGATTCAGCATATCAAAGAACCCCATATATTCAATTTTTGTTGAAATCAAACAAAGTTTAATTTTGGACCCCAATTTGGACCAACTTGAAAACAGAGCCCGAAATCAAAAATGTAAAAACATGTTTAGATTCAGCATATCAAAGAACCCCAAGAATTCAATTTTTGTTAAAATCAAACTAAGTTTAATTTTGGACCCTTTGGACCTTAATGTAGACCAATTTGAAAACTGGACCCCAAAATTAAAAATCTTAATACACAGTCAGATTTGGCATAACAAATAAATAAATGTGGTCAAAGATTTTACAAATCTAATGCGCCATACTGTGCAATTAAAGATTACTTCTTGAATTTTTTCAATATTTGAAATTTGAAAAAAAAATAATATTTGAAGAATAATTCTTTTTAATTTCTGAAATCTGAAATGAGAAAAAATTGACCCCCCACAATTTCTTTTTACCCCTCCCCCCCCCCTCGCCTTTTCCCCCAAAAATTCTTTCCCTCAAGATATGGTCATAATCTCAATTCAAATTTCCAATGGAATTTGCAACCATAATTACCCATTTAAATTTACCATAGTGCTATCTTAATCTATTTTATAATAGAATTTAAAATATGGTGTCAAATCTTTCATATGGATTTTTTTGTAAAAAAAAAAGATGCAACATTTGCAGATATTTTTACTGGTCTTCCTTTATAAATATGCATTTCTTTAAACATAATTTAAAAGCAGTGTAAGGGAAGTAATCAAAACGTAATATGTGGATTACCTCCCTTACACTGTTTAAAATTGTCTTAATTGTTCATTAACCATTACTTTATACATAATTTAAAAGCAGTGTAAGGGAGGTAATGCTAATGATGTATTTGATTTATCTCCCTTACACTGCTTTAAATTATGTTTTGTACTTAAGTATTTGTCCATATAACAATGCTTGTTTTTTGTCCCTTTTTGGCCCCTAATTCCTAAAATTTTGAGGCAATTACCCCCAAAATCAATCCCAGCATTCCCTTTGTGATATGGAACCTTGTGGTACAATGTCAGAGAGATCCATACACTAACACACAAGTTATGTCTGGAAGTTACAAAAATTCTTATTTTTGGCCCCTTTTGGCCCCTAATTCCTTAACTGTTGGTACCATTACCCCCAAAATCAATCCCCACCTTCCTTTTGTGGTATTGAACCTTATGGTAAAATTTCATTGAGATCCATTCACTTAAACTAAAGTTAGAGTGCAAAAACTAATGTGTCTTCGGACGACGACGACGACGCCAACGTCATACCAATATACGACCACAAAATTTTTTTTGCGGTCGTATAAAAAATGAGGAAAACTGATTATTTGAGTGAATTTTGTAAGTCAAAGGACCATAACTCTGCACAAAATCATCAAACTGGAACAAAATTCAAACTGGATCTGTAACTTGTCATGATAAAACTATATACCAATTATCAAATCAATATCTTCAAGCACAACGAAAAAAATGCGGAAAACTGATTATTTGAGTGAATTTTCTAAGTCCAAAGACCACAACGCTGCACAAAATCATCAGACCGGAACAAAATTCGAAAAGGATCTGTCACTTGTCATAATAAAACAATACACCAAATATCAAATCAATATCTTCAAGCACGAAGAAAAAAACTGATTTGCCAGACTGACGGATGGACAGACAGACAGAGTGCAAACTTAAAGTCCCCTTAGACTTCGTCAGTAGGGGACTAATAACAGCAAGATCTTTTATTGAGCAAGAATGACTGACCGTTGCCCTTTTTAATAAACATTCATGAGAGAACCAGATGCTTTTTCAAAAGATAATATGGCCAATAAATGGAGTTGCCAATCTCTGGTACTATATGTCTCTGCGAAGACCGATGGAACATATACATGATTAAATTTGACACTTTTACCTCATAATGGTCAACCAAAGCACACTGAACATTAAGCAAACAACAAGCAATCCATCAACCAAAACATAATGGTGACTGTAAAACTTAACAAAAAATTTTAATTACCATTTTAGAGGTAATTTTAAAATGGGACCATTTTGACAACAATACATATCTTTTTCCTTTCTGAATTATTTATGAAGAAGTTAACAATGGCAAAAAGTAAATACGAAAACACAATATGCAGGACTAGATGTTAGTATATTTACATACATTTTGTACTATTTACCACTGTACAATTACAATCTATACATGTAGAAATACAAAATTTATGCTACCACTGACGCCCCAAATCAAAATAAGCAAATCTTGATGGCGAAAAATGCAAGAAAAGCAAAATAGGGCAAAATGAAAAATTACAAAACATATAAATCAATCATGACAGTTAAATAAGTGTTTATATCAGTATTATTTTATTTCATTGTAAGTTTCACTGATACAAGAATTCTTGCTATGCACTTTTAATCAATGCACAATATTATATGCATTTTTAAGCAACATCATTATGAAGCTACTGTTTATTATTTAAAAAAGATTACCGGTAATATCATAATTAAGGGGAAGGGATGGAAAACACTGGTAATGACATCAAATAAAAAAAATTGTATCACAGCAATTGTAACAACTGCTTTATCGTTTAAATAATCTTTAGAACTCATCCAGACCAACATATATAGTTAAATGACAAATCTGTCACATAATCTCATAATAAGTTGATGGTGAAAATATATAGAAATCTGACAGAGGTAATTTTCTACTTTTTCAACATCTTTTTCTCTATTAACTGACATGGCAATCTTGCGTCTAAGAACTCAAATCTACACTACAATACCACTGAGAATATATTTCTACTTTAAGTTTTATGGTCACTTTATAGATTCTAAACTGCATCAAATTTACCATATATTTTCAATCTAAATTTTTGACATTTCTGGAGATGGCACCAAGAGTCCAATTTTTTTAAAGCGATTTCCCTTAACATTGTTGTTTCAATTTTTCTTATTGCCTATTACATATACAATGTGGTTAAAAAGGCTTGTTTATACAATAGGAGGAATTGTTAGGGGACACAAAAACTTTAGTTATTATACTCAAAATGACATATTCTATTATTATTCAACCATTTTAATATTAAATAATATTATGTCAGAAGATTGGGAGATTCTTCCAGTTAAATGAGACATATGTTGACATTTTATTGATACAGATATAAGCACATTTATCGAAATTTGGGGGTCATTTGTAGTTACTGAAAAAAAAAAAATTGTTTAGAATTTGAAAAAATTAGAACATGGGTGGCTTGAGTTAAAAAAAAAATTGAATCCTATCCCCACATACATTTAATTCTGAAATGGTACTAAGTATGTTTTGATTTTCTTTGTTAAGATATATACAAACACAAATGATACAAAATATACAGGTTCTAATGAGTTAAATAAGATATACAATATGTGCACAACTATTTACAATCGAAAATAAACTGTGTTTGAGAAGACTTGTGGCTTATGAATAAGGTTCTGTAAAACATGTCAAATATTTTATGAAACAAAATGAAAAAGAATAAGAAAAGGTCTGATTATAAATTAAAAAAGCATATATTTTTCAACTTGTCATAAAAAAACTATGAAAATAATATTTGAAAATAATGAAAAATAATCTTAGGTGTAACAAAGTATATACAAAAAAGGTTGCATTGGCTTTTATACAGATGTATTTAGTTACATATATACATGTATCTGTAATTAAGACAACTAAAGAAACCCCTAAGAAGTCTATAAAACTGTTTTTATTATATACATGTCAATTAACTATACAATGCAGAAATAATGATGACAAAAAAGATCAACCAACTTCACAATTCCAAGTTGATAGGAAAAAGCATTTAAAGCACTGCACATGAGCCAAATTTTGATTATATTGATCCAATGTTTCAACTGTATATGATAGAAAGTGCCATCTGCATCTGGTAACTTTCTTCATACTTTTACAATTTTAGGTGAAACATTAAGTATATAAGCCTGCTCCACATGAGCAGGTTAATTTTCAGAGAACCATCTCCAAAATTTAAGTTAATATCTGTAATCATGACAAAAAAAGTATATGGACTACTGTTTGATTTCAGAAGTACAGAAGGTAACAATAAATGCCTCAATCAATTGGAGGCTGGGGCATAAAACTTATCAATTCTATAACTAGTGTAATTCAATCTAAAATAATTGAAGTCCTATAGTAGTTTATTCATATATTCAAAAGAAACAGTGAAAAATTGAAAGAGGTGTTTGGATAATAGTTCACACTGACAAAAGAAAATTCCAGCCTGATAATCTCCCCAATATTTCCTCAATAAAAATTCTTACAAAGGATCACTTCTAAATTGTATTTTCAAATAACATACTCTCTTTATTGCCCACTTATTAAAACAAAGGACCACATTTTTATTGCTATTAAATAATAAGCGATTGTAACTAAGTGTTGTAAAAAAGAATTCTGATATAATTTTTTTTTCTTCTTAAAAATCCTGCTTGTTACAGATGAAAATTAATTAAAGAAAAAAGAACTCTTCAAAATTCTACAAGATTTAGCTGCAGCTTGTTTTAATGTAGACTACCAGAAAGATGATAATCTCCTCTTATTTACACCATGAAAGTAATGGTCACATGATTGACATGTGATGCCTGTGTGACTTTTTATTTTTTCATATAACATAAGACTTTTTCAAAGATTCAATTACAAATATGTCTATAGATTTCATTTCAGTGTATATTTTACAATGATTCATGGGACATTGCTTCTGAAGTATAATCAAGCCCTCATACTGTTCACATACCAATAAAAGAAAATGTAGGATATACATACATAGAATTCAAAATACAATATCTAAAAATAAATCATCTTCACAGCCAGACTATAACATAAAAAAAAATAACAAAGGTTTTAATATAGTAAAATTCTTTTTTCAACTGATTTACGACAAATTGGACACTCTGTCATTCTGTCTCCACACATCTGGCAAGTACCGTGACCACACAGAAATATCATGTTCTTCAAGCGATCCATACATACAGGACAACTAGTCTGTAAATATAAAAGTTGCACAATAAGACAAGTATCAAATAGTTTTGTAACTATTGTTTCAATAAAAATAAAATAGATACGACAGCAGAGTTCGAACACTGAACAGTTGGGGCAAGTATGGATATGACATTCAACCTTGATACAGCTCTGAATTTGGATTGTGATTAAATATTTGACACAGCATAGGTTTCTAACACAGAATGAATGTGGTCAAAGAACTGAAAAAATGTGAAATTGGACTTTTACCTATTATGGTCCAATATCCAAAATCTAAATACACGGTTACATTCAGCATATCCAAATACATCAAGATTTAATTTACTTTGTAAAGGGCATAACTCTAGAACAGTACAAGTGACACTGCCAAAATTCAAATTTGATCTGTATTTTTTTTGGTAATAAGCATTGAATATAAGTTTCATAACATTTGGTTGAGGCAAATTAAAGTTAGAGAACGGAAACGAAAAATTCAGCAATTTTTCCATTTGTTAAGGGGGGCATAACTCTAGAACAGTTAAAGTGACACCACCAAAATTCAAACTTGATCTGTGTTTTGTGGTAATAAGCATTTTGTATAAGTTTCATAAAATTTGGTTGAGGCAAACAAAAGTTAGAGAATGGAAACCAACTTCGGGACATACAGAGGGAGGGACGTACAGATGGACAAGGGTAAAACTTAATGCCCCCTCCGCCACGGCGGGGGCATTAAAATATTTCTATATAGCATTCTGCATATTAATTTATACAGAATAACAAACAAACTTACCACAAAGTTCTTCAAAAAATTTACAAAAAAAATGAAAGAAACAATTTCCAAAATATCAATCATAATTAATACTATGTCTTTATAGACCAGTGGTAGAAACATAAAAAATAATAATCTAATGCACCAATCGAACACATGGCTAAATTATATATTACTGAAAAGACAAAATTGTGAACTTTCAGATTAATGATGCCTTAAGCCTGAGAAATGGTCATAATTTTACATAATTTGGGTCACAGGTCCACAATTATATATCACTGAGTATTGTTTTAACTGTTAACTGTAAAATTCAGGTTAAATTCAGGAATAAAAAATATAGAAAAATCAGAGGACATTATCTCATTTAGCATTCATGAAGCCTGTAGGTGATATAAATTTCTTTTTTAGAATAACGTTTTTTTACGTAAAAATTGAGGTTTTTCATTAGTTAACAAATTTTGTTTATTTATAACTTCACTTTGTTTCTTAACAAGAATAACCTTGAACTTTGATTACACAAATTTAGATAAAAATGAAGTCTTAAAAGGACTTGTTATTTTGCAAACTTTAGAGTCAAGTAAAGGGGTTTGACATTAATCTAATTGATTTCAGTCCCACTGGCCTTTTTAGTAAGTTTTTGGCATTTTCATTTCAGACACAAGATGTCTATGATATTTTTGTTTTAACGTCAAAATGTATCCGTATAAAGTGTATGAAATATGTAAGTATCAACATTTCATGGTGTTATATGACGTTCTGGATGTTCTAACATAAGAATCGGAAATAGCTCTTGTGTCAAACTTAAATAAACATATTGATAACAGAAAAAGTGCACAATAACTGAATGTAAAACAACTTTTCTAAAATCATTAGAATGGTTAAGAGGCTAATAGGTTAGAAAATGAAGCTTCATCATCATCATCATCAAAAATATCTGTCAGGTGTGTATTGATGTTTTGAAAAAGGTCTGATGCTCGATATTGACAAAGTTCAGTACAGAACAAATGCTTTTCAAAACTCACACAGCCCTTACTGCTCACTTATTTTCCTTTGCCCATGTACACCAAAGCTTGAAGGAAGTCAGATAACATTTGACCTTCAAACAAGACTGGTTATAGACCAAACTTTACTTATTTCCAACCAAACTGCATAGTCAACTAAATAACCGACTTGGCTGTATGCGCATTCATCCAGACTTTAATTGGGAGAGAAGACCTAAAGACATGTTGTTTAAATGATGCTTCACAAGTCAGACCAAGCTTGAATCTTTACAACTTGGCTTTTTTAACATGGAACCTGTTCAGATTGTTATTGCAACGTTTGGACTTTTCCTTCCTTTGGATCATACAGCCTTGCTTTCAGTTTTCGACTCACTTCTACCAAATCATCTATATCTATTGAATACTACTATTGGAAGGATCTGAACCACTAATATATCCTATTCCAGTATGTGAGCTAAATCTGCCTTGCAAGTCTCACATATTGTGCCATCGTCATGGAAAATGGATGTAGGGATTGAGCCAATTGGATAGGACAGAACTTTTTCAACAGCAACATCATCTCGACAATTTGCTAAAGCCAATGTACGATGAAAAACTAGCTGATGGTTAATATGCACATTTACTGTGCCACTAGAAGTTGCTTAAGTTTAATTTTTTGGTCATATCTTCAAAAGACTTTGGTTTAGACCTTGCTATTGGGTTATAGAAACTTCAAGACTGCCAATTTGACAAAAAACCATAAACAAAAGATTTAACCCTTTTCATGTCCTCATCAATAAAATTCAGTAAAGAATCTTGAACCTCTTTAGATGCATGCAGCCCAGTTGAAGTATGAGCAGTGGTGTGTAAAATCTGTTCTTCACGTATTGTACTTTTGGAATCTCTAATTTCCAAATCTAACTGTGCTATCTTGAGTTCAGATTTTAACTGACTTGCATCTTTAATGGCATCACTAATAGATACATGTATAAATAAATATATATGTGCTTTTTGTGGTTGTATGATATTTCAATCGCCGTAATGATTCGACGATCCATTTTGCAATGTATACATTGTGTATTTATCGGCATACTCCTTTGAAAGCAAGGCACAAAATTTTTCAATTAAGGTCGACATCATAAAAGTCTTATGCTTATTATCAGTGTGAATTTATTTCTGATACTAACTTCACAAATGCAGAATCATGATCAGATGATTCAGTTTTCACTTTTTTAATTGTTTTCATTAGATATTTAGTTATATAGGCTGAATGATAAAGGCCATTATCATCAAAATTTGAATGTAAAACCGTTTTAGTTTCAGGCTCAGAATTATTTCTGGGTGCTTCTAGAATTATTACTGTCTACAGATTCCAATTTGTGCAGTCGTGCTTCTTCTTTATAGTTTTTGTTCTTACAAAACATACAGGGATACCAGTCAGATCAGGTTGTAATTCTAGATGTGCTTTCAGCAGGTGAAATTACGCAAGCGCTATCGGTTTTCTCCTCAGTTTCCATACATTCTTGTTTATGACGAGTAAGATTTTGTTGACTGATGTATGATTTACAACAATATCTATGGTATTTTACCTCAATTTTTCCCGAGATGATATGATTGATAGAACTCTTCTACAATCTTCAAATATATCTCATCTTTCTGTACTTCATTAGCTTTAATAAAACTTACTTTGCCCTTGTCTGTGAAAATATATAATTTTTTCGGGCTTTTACTTTGACAAATAATGCATTCATGCCAATCGAAAGAAGATTTCACTCTCTTGGAGCTAGTTGGGACAATTTTTTAAGGACTGGTCCAAGGACACAGTTATCGTCCTTAGATTTTCGTTGTCTACAAATATAGTCCCTAGTGTGGACAGTGCGAATTTTTTTCATACACTTTCCAAATTTCTTTCTTTATATTTTATGCATGAAATATTAAGTAAGGGGATGAAATTACATGTTAAAAAAAATTGGGCGCTGAATCTTTATGTTAAGTAGTGATTTGGTCCAGTTAAAAAAAGGTCAAAACTAGTATGTCTAAAGCTGTCAAACTGAATTTTAGACCCCCTTAACATAGAATTGTCAATATTTTGAGTTAGAGCTGGTAGACTTTTCTATAATTTTGATATTATTTGTCCCAAAAGTAGTACACTACACTGTAAAAAAAATTTTGAGATAGAGCAGGTGCGATTTTTTTAATTTGAATTTATTGTCTAAAAAGAAATGCACTACGAAATAACTGTGTTCTCGGGACTAAGAGATGAATTCAGGAAATGTAGATTCTGTACTTTGGCAACTTCCCTGAATAATTTGCTGGTTTCAATTTGTCAAACTCAATAAAAGTAAAGGATTTACATCTTTATTTGAAAGAAATTCTGTTAAAATGTCCCATTTTGACATTATACGGCTAAAATAAGCATTTTAAAGCAGTTTCCATTTTTAAGCCTAAGAGGCATGCTGACTTTCTATCTAGCAGCTTTTTATGCTTTGATATTTGTGTTTCTATGATTAATTCAAATTCTATTAACCATTTGTGAACTCTGAATATAGAGAAAAGTAGATCATCACAGAAAAAAATGTGCAAAATGTGTTGTATTTGGCCCTGGTCGAACTGCCTGTTTGATGTATGTGAAATGTGAAGGGCTTTGTACATTAAATCTGTAGTCCATCATAAATATTTCACTAAATCTGTAAAAAAAGCACTTGACAATGATCTGTGCACCTTATCCATTTCATATACTACCTTTATTTTCTTCTTTAGGATAGTATGTGGTTCAAATATATGCCAGTTGAGACTAAAGCTACATGCAAGTTTTCCTTTGAAAAGTGAAAAAACTGTGCATCAGACCATACTGTCTGCAAAAAAAGTTGAATGCAAGAGTCCTTTTGCAATTAGACTCCTTGTATCATGACATCTTAGCTTAGAAATGAGCAAAAAGTAACAAATTTCCATTTCTTGTAGCTTCTGTATGCATTTTTATATGTAAATATGTGCTACGGCCTAAATTGACTCTATTGAGTTAATCACAACTATTGAAATAAAAAAGTTTATAAAATTTGAATGGTAAACATCAAGAAAAAATCATTGTCTCTTTTTTTTTAGATCTTGTCTTGCTAATCATTTTTGCATATTTAAGTTTCTATCTATCTATTATAATTTTAAAGATATAAGGCAATAATACGTCCTGTAAACGGGCGTATAAAAACGCAAAAAAATAGAAAAAAAATCATAAAAGGGCAATAACTCTAAGAAGGAGTCCACTGACCATTTCGAAC